AATGAACATTCAGTGACCACGGTGACTTATCAGAAAAAGACTTATTTTTTCAGTGGTGGCATGGGTCTTAACAAGAAAGAATTCATTCATTCATTTGACAAATGTCTATGGTCACCTACGATGAGCCAGACGCTATTCCAGATACTGGGAACAAAACAGACAGAAGTCCCCACCTGCATGGGGCTTCATTCCAGTAAGATGCCAGCAGACAACGAACAAGTGCGCGATTCACAGAACAGATGACAAGGGATGTGTGCTTTGGGTAAAAGTAAAGAGCAAAAGGGGACAAATGAAGAGGGTTCAAGAGTGAGAGCTGGCCAGGGAAGGCCCCATGAGCAGGTAGCATTTGGCTGAAGATCTAAAGGCAGCCAGAGAGTCAGGGAAAGGGAGTGGCAGGTGCAAAGGCCCTGGGGCGGGAGAGGTTCTGGCGTGTATGAAGAACAGCAAGGAAGCCCCTCCTTGGCTGGGGTAGAGATAAGTGAGGGACAAAGCTTGGAGCTCCTGCCTGTGTTTTGTCGACACAAGATGCCCTGAACATTTCCATTGAAGAAAATAACTACATCAAACAAGCAGTTGTTTACAGGAAGATTAGGCAACATTCTAGAGCTGAGTCAGATTAAATCTGGATGACTGGAGAATTTTGGAAGCCTTGAAGCTGTTGACAATGAAAAACAAATTAGCCCGGTTGATGAAAAGAGCAAAACACAAGTAAAGGGGAACAGGGTCACGAGGGCTCACACAGACGCTTGGGGTTGGCAGCGGGAGACTCCTCTTTCCTGGGGTGGCACTCGCGGTGAGTGCCCCCTTCTACCTGTCCACTGGCATCTGTCCCGGAAGAAGCAGGCGGGGCCTCGGGGGACGGCTGCCTGACCCGGGAGAGGCAATGACCCACATTACCATCCTAAAGGAAGACGAATGGGAACCAGAATTCGGTAACGCCAAAGCATCACGCAAACATATGTGTCTCTGGCTGTACCAACTTAATTAAAACCTCCTTACTTTAGATAATTTTGGGGAAAAGCCACATATAACAAAACCAACCTCGGTTGGCCTGAAGGTCTTACCCTGCCCAGTGCAGGACCTGGAGCCCCAACATCACATGATCGGTTCTGGTTTTTCTTAATGATACAGGCAACAGGCAGCCACACCTGTCATTCACTAATGGGTGGTTTTAGCCTTTGATCTACTTGAAAATTAGAGGTTGCGCGTGAGTCCTCTCCATGGTTCAGCGTGGTGCCTCCCCACACACACACACACAAAAGGAGGCACCTCCTCTCACCTACACCCTGTTAAGCAAAGGGGCTTCAACTCTCAGACTTGCATAACAGACAAAAGAAAGCCATCTTTGGTATAAACCTTTCACTCAAGAGCTGCAGTACGTGCGTAATCTGGATTTATTTTTTTAACTCCGCTCTCTCTGTCATATTTCCAGAGGCTTATCATTAAGCCTCTACTGTTGCACTGCGCTTTACCTCCCAGGGGTCGGCACGTGCCCCTACGAGGAGGCTTCGATGTCCCCATTTCACAGATGAAGAGTAGAGGAGGACAGAGGTGGGGAGGTCCCGCACCCACTCACAGCTAGTACAAGATGAAGCGGGGACGGGGACCCAGGTGTGTGGGACCCCATGGTCTGCAGAGCTGTGCTGGATATAGGGGATAAAATGGGCTTGGACTTCAAAGCAGGCCTGGGTTCAAATCCAGTATCTGGTGTTTATTAGTTGAATGACTTTGGCAAATCTCTGTCTCTCCAAACCACAGTGTCTTCCCGATCCTCACTTCAGGGCTGCTGTGAAGATCAGAAATAATGTATGTGCGGTGCACAGACACAGGAAGCCCGTGAATTTATAATTATACTTAATAATTAGTAATTGTAATTAGTAATCTCGCCCTTTTCTGTTCCAAGGGTGGTTTTAGAACCAGCAGGTTCCGCCTCACCACCTGGGAGCCTGTTGAAAATGCAGTCTCAGGTGCTGCCTGGCTGGACCTCCTGAATTCGAACCCGCGTTCCAGGTGGGTTCCAGGCAGCGCGCGGCGGGACGCTGCCCG